CATTTTATCCTAGCCTCTGGAAATCTACACCTCATTACTTCAAAATAAATAAGTGAAGTCTGAAATACAGAGATTTAAAGAAACCATTTTTACTGCTCTCAAATGTAATGCAGATGACAAATTAATATCAAATGGGCAACTGATGGAAAAAAAAAAATAAGGAGCTTCATCAAGCTTTCTGATGTATATCAAATACCATGAACCTCATCATCCTGAAAGCCTTCACTGCAAACTTTGTAACTTGATAAAAAGCAGATAGACCCTTTCTGACTGATCAGATGTTTCCCAAGGAGTGAAATGCACATTTACAATGTGGACTATGTCCATAGTTTCAGAACTCAGTCTCCTTCCTTGAACCCAACATTATGTGTCGATACGCAGGCTCCAGAAGATCAGTATGGTTGCTGTTTTCAGAGGCTGACATCCCAGAGGAGACACAAAACAAACAAGTAAGCAAAATTTTTCAAAGAAAAACTCCTTGTGACAAGCGCAAGGAAGGAAATCAACTACTTGTCATGACCAAGCAGTGAGTGGGGGTGGAACAGCACCAATGTATACAGACCAGTAGAGAAGATCTAAGAAGAACTTTAAACCAAGACCTGAAGGGTATTTCTGGATACTTCTCCAAGGTCACTAAATTGGCAAGTTTGCTTATTAGGCTCCCAAGGCATTTTTAGTCTTTAAAAAAGGAGGAGGGGGCAGCAGGTGGTATGGAAATTAGGGTGCTGGATCTCACACGGCCAGCTTCGTGGTTCAAGTCCCGGACCCAGTGACTTGAGAATTATATTAAGCACATGAACGTACATACCCAAAATCCCAAGGAGAGAATGGAGGGGAAGGGATGGTGGCATGGCTATCTCCCCCCGCTGGGTGGGGGCAAAGGAGGTGGTGATTTCTCACTTTCTCTCTCTCTTTCTCTCTCTCTCTGTCTCTCTCTGGCAAGTGTACATGCCCTATAACAACAACAACAACAAAAAAAAAAAAAACTAAAAGAAAAAAAAAATAGATTGGCATCTTGTGGCCCTGTTTGAATGCAAATTGTCCAGCTCACTGGACATTCTCTATGCCAATATTGGGTGGCACTGAGCGCTTGAAAGATGACACATCCCAGGCTATTCACCCAGAGAGTTTAAAACAGTCAACATAAACAACAATGAGCTGGCTGAGGGACCAGCATTTGAGCTATGAAAAAGAAATTTATCCTGTTGATTCATACTTCCTGATAGTCTGGCTGGCCGACAAAGCGCAGGGTGTTTTAAGTGTATTCATGAGTAAATTGTTCCCCAGTCCCAGACAGGGGCTGGGGAGGGGGGGTGGAGGGTGGATGTTTACAGCTGTGTACCACTTTCCCTTGTACTTCCAGATTAGAACTGCTTAACCCAGTTCGTAGGAGAGTCCTTTCAAACATGGCTGGAAATGTTTTTCTTTCTGCGAGGTCTTGATTGGATGAGTCATGTTGTACAGCAGTTAACATGACGTGGACAGCAATTAGGAGATCGCTGGCATTCTCCCAACACCCCTAGAGGATCCACACCGCTAAGCGATCACTTTCCTCAAATGAACTGTCCTTTTTATACTCCAGAGCGATGGTAATCCGATCTTATCACATAGTAGCCTCTCCTGTGAAATCGCCCTTTCCTGCCGCTCAATGGATGACGATGAAATAGAACCGCTTTGATTGGCAGGTGGCGTGGATTGCAGCTTGGAGAGATTATTTAATTTTCTTTTTTTGTTTTTTTTTGGTTTTTGGTTTGTTTTTTTTTTTTGGAGAAGCTTTTGCTATAGGGCGCATGTGCTTGCCAGAAAGACAGTGAGAGACAGAGAGACAGAAAGTGAGAAATCACCCCCCCGGGGGGGGATGGCCATGCTACAATCCCTTCTCCTCCATTCTCCTCTCGGGATCTTGGGCACGCACGCACACACACCTGGCATGAGTTTAAGCCACCGGGTCCAGGACTTGAACCGCGGTCGACTACATGGGAGTCCAGCTCTAAAAGTCCTTTATGAAAACAGAAAAAAAAAATCCCTTAATATGAAAAACCATGTTAAGCCATTGCCTTAACAGGATTCCTTGACGACTGTCCCCTAGTAGGGTGACTTGGAAGCATTGTGTACCTGCAATACCATGAAAGATCAGAACAGGTGACTAAAGACGGGACAGGCCACCTCACTTTACAAACTTGCCTCAAGTCAGCTTTCAAACCATCGAATGCCATCGAAGGCAGTGGGTCCCAAACACTGGTATCACTGGTGGGCCTTCTAAAAACACAGATGCCGGCTTCCATGCCCACCAACTCTGATGTCATTGATATGAAATGCCACCTGGGAGTTCAGATTTCTTAAAGCCCCCAGTGAGTGTAATATGTGGCAAAGTTTGGAAATACTGCTCTTCATGTCTTCCTGGAACCATGTATTCATTTCCTTCCTACATAAGGACCCATACCACTGGTTCTTGGCCACAGGAGCACATTAGAAAAACCTAAGGTACTTAAAAAACTTAAAAATAGGGATCAGCAGTTGGTGTAATGGCTATGTCGCTAAACTCCCATGTAGTTGACCACGGTTGGAATCCCTGGACCTGGCGGCTTAAACTCACGCTGGGCATGTGTGCATGCGTGCCCAAGATCCCAAGAGGAGAATAGAGGAGAAGGGATTGTGGCATGGCCATCCCCCCTGGGAGGTGATTTCTCACTTTCTGTCTCTCTGTCTCTCTCTGTCTTTCTGGCAAGTGCACACACCCTATAGCAAAAGCCTCTCAAAAAAAATTAAATTAAATTAAATAAACAAATAAGCATGCCTTTGCCCAGTCCTCAGAGACCCTGACATTGTTACTCTGGGTCAGGAGAGCAGCCCCAGCATCCTTAGTTCTTAGTTTTTTTTTTTTTTTTAAGAGAGATTTTCACTATCGGGTGCATGCACTTGCTGGAGAGACAGAAAGTAAGAAATCACCCCGGGGTGGGGGGAGGAGCGAAGGGATGGCCACAGGGCAATCCCTTCTCCTCCATTCTCTTCCTGGGACTTGGGACACGCTCGCACAGGTGCCCAGCGTGAGTTTCAAACCGCAGGGTCTGGGACTCAAAGCCTAGCGACTCCGTGGAAGCCCAGCGAAGTAACCGGGAGGCCATCTGCTGGTCCCATCCTTAGCTGATTAAGGGTTCCAGGTGATGCTCATGGAAGACAGCTGAGAACCATGGTCCACACTAGGAAGAGCTGTCCAAGCTCATAGTCATGCAGTGACAATGACACCAGTTCGGAAGGAGCCAGGGGTGCCAGTCTTCTTCCACTCCATCCACGTTAGGAAGGCAATGAAACATTTCCCCAAAGCGGTCGGGAAACGTGGTGGGGGACTTGCAGCAAAGGAGTGAGCAAGAAAGCATGTCTTCAGCCAGAAGAAGTAGAAAAATTGGAATAAAGAACAGCCCCGGGTCTTCTTGCCCCGCAGCCCCCACTAAACTTTACTGACTGGCAAGAAAATGTCCTTAGAATGCTTCCTAGAGGTGGCTCCCCCTTGGATTCCGGTCCAGTAAATTGTGAAAATTCTTGTCCAATCAGAAGCCCTGGCAGCACCCGCAGCCAAATTGGCAGGCCCTGAGCTCACTGCCTGTGAGATTCTGTTTCCTGCATTTCCCAGGAGGATTTCTGTACCCCGAGGAAGCCAGTCCTCCCTCTTCCACACTCTCGGCTCTTCCAACCCCTCGGAGCTTCGACCCTCACGTCCGACCCCCGCAGGACCCCCGCAGGACCCCCCGCAGCTCAGAGCAGAGAAGCATAGAGAAACTTGCAAAGACTCCCCCAGATGACTTAGGGGGGAATCGTTCATGGAAATGCCCTTACACAGAGGGCGTCTTGGACCTGGCTCGGAAACTAACTTTGGCCAGTGTCTGCTCACCCACTCTGGGGCCTGGGCAGGGCCAAGCGTCTTACACGGGACAGCAAGCCGGGAGACCCACTCGGGGCGTGGTTACTGCCCCCCGCGGGTCTACCCTTTGTCTACACTGCACTCCACACCGAGTCCAGCTGATGAATGAAGCGCGCACAAGTCGCAGGCACAGACTCCGAAAACGGGCTACCTTTCCTCTTTTCATTTACAGATGAGAAAACTTACTGGGAGTTGGGGGGTCCGGGGGGTGGAGGCGATCCGGGTTTGCCACAGAACGTTTGTGGCGGAGCCCGATTTAGCCGCCCTTGAATTTCCATTCTGTTGCCTGGCAACCGGCTCAGACCAGCTCAGCGCCCAGCCCCGGCCCCTACCCCACACCCTTTCTCTGCCTGTGCGGCTTGGGCAGCGCTGATCCACTGCATGTGAGCGAGGGCCTTGCATGGATTACCCTAGTTTGGTTCGGATCCGGCCCCAAACAGGCACCAGCCCGAGTCTGGCCGGTGTGAGCGCGCCTTCTGAGGTCCCCTCTGCAACCAAAGCCCTCCTCCCACAACGCCGTGCACACCTCTTAACACACTCATGTCAGCTGCCCAAAGTCCTCGGCTGCTGGCAGATTCCCTAAACGTCGCGGGGGTAGAATTGGCACCCCGAAAGTTAAGAGGGCAAAAGAAGACAGTCCGGACGGGAAAGGGTGTGGAAGAGCCGTTTGCGCCTCAGGATGGCCACAGTCAGATCAGACTTCTCTGCACCGTGGAGTTAACGTGGCCCAAGATGTACAGAAATACATTTTTTTAAAAAAAAAAAGCGCAGAACGTGGTCCGGGCGCCCATAAAAATGACACGCCCGCGGGGGACAGCACTCCGGAGCCGGCGCCCTGCCAGCCAGCGGC